GGATAACCCGTGATTCTTCAATCAACAATCGACTAGTCAAATTATTTATATTTTTACTTCCCGTTGGGACTGAATCCCAAGCACTGTAAAAATGATTATATTCTTTTGGTAGTGTCATTAGTATTTTTGTCATAACCATGTTATCCGTAACTGGTTCACCCGCTACACTCAGTTTCCTTCCTAAATTGACCAATTTAGAAATATGCGTCGACATGTCATCTGTCGACTCCTTTGAATAACTGAAAAATTGTTGTTGAAGCAAATGTATACTTGCCTCAGACTTCTGCTCGTAAATACTCAGCAGTTTCTCCCACATTTCCAATGCAGTCTCACAGTTAATCAAATATTGTAATGGACCATCGTCCACTGAGGTAACTATTATTTTCTGACATTTACCGTCCGCTTTTTGCCAAGCGTTTGTATGCCTTTGCCAACGTGCTTTGGCATCCTCGTCGGTCTCTCCTGCCGACTTTTTTATAGGTAGACCTGGTTTCGTCCATTCGCCTGAAACTATCTCACCTACTTCCAAGGCATTTAAAATGACCTTCATCTGGAACTTCCATAACGACCAGTTTTCCGCACATAATTTTGTTATCTTCACCGTGTCTTCCATGACCGATGGATTCCCGTATACTTTCCTGTATAACAATTTATAACAAAACTTTACCTATGTACACTGTTCCGCCGTTTTCCGAAATCCAGGATATCTCCGACTGGTTGTAGTTTTCTGCGTTAATACAAATATAAAAATACTTCGATCACGAATCCACTAGACTGTTTGTCTTGGTTATTGACTGGGCCCATAACCTGTTGAAAGTGAAGCTTGACGGACTAATGATGTTAGCATTAATATAATAAGTAATAACACGACAATATGATTATGTATAAGTATAATATATAATAACGTACAACTGGACAATTAAACTGTGACTATACACACACACCGCGTACACTCGGTATGACAGCGTCTGTGCAAGTGAATATTACATACATCAAAGGCCCTTTATATATGCACGACCGAGGTCATGTTACATCCGTAAAGAGAGTGAGTCTTATGCTCGTACATAACTAGTTACTATATTGTACACACGTGTCAAGGCTGACTACATATACTACATATTATTTGTATATTTCAACAAAGATATACTAGAAGGCGACCGTAGGTTTAAATGCGGCCGTTTTTTAAAACTTATAAGACAACGTGTGACGAATGTACACAAACAAATGAAGTACAATATTAGCAAAGGAAAGTGCACTCGTCCGCTTGGTTTTGACACTAAGTCTAGACAGAGTACTACCAAAGAAAATGGAAAAAGAAAAATTTCAGAATTTTCTAGCCTTAACCATTTAGACGAAACAGATTTGGGGAAAAAAAGAAAAACAACACAAACACCTCCAACCCATCACGTACCGTCCTTTCAAAGCACTGTCGTTAAAAATCCCAAAGTCTTCGACCATTACAGCAGATAAAAATAACATTGTGGTTATAGAATGTGACAACGAGACTGGGTTCACTGTTGATGAGCCTATGAACAACGACATGGTTGTACATGAATTGAGTAAGCAATTGGACGATTGTTTAACAAAATCAGTTTCGACACCCGGCAGTCATAAATCTCCGTTTCGACTATCAGCGCTAGTTATGGATTTACACAAAAATATGCTCCCTAAAGATTTGGCGTACTATAAACCAATTAATATGTCAAACAATAAATATTATATAGTTGTAAAATATCGTAACTTATTATCTAATAAATACGGAATACAAAGTTTTTTTAAAGGTGTTACTGAGCCGTTTAACACCATATGCAGAAGAGTGCCTAGGGCAGTACCAATGCGGGTTCCGCAAAGGAAAATCGACAGTGGAGCAGCTTTCAATAATTGGACAAATCATTGAGAAGAAATATGAATATCGTCAGAATTTTTGGCAGATATTCGTGGATTTTAGAAAAGCATATGACAGCGTCCATAGGGAGAGTCTGTACAATATTATGGAAGAATTTGGAATACCTTACAAGCTTATATCACTCACCAAAATGTGCATGGAATGGACAAAATACCAAGTAAGGGTAGATAACATACTATCTGACGCCTTCACAGTAGAAACTGGCCTTAAACAAGGTGATGCACTATCCCCGCTACTGTTTAACTTAGCACTTGAAAAGGCGGTAAGAATGATGCAAAATGCAGAAAGTGGGGTAGCGGTCAATGAACATCGAGTGCAGATTTTAGGTTTTGTGGATGATCTGAACATCCTTTGTGAATCACTAGAGGACGCTTTAAATCGAACGATGGCTCTCGAAAACGCTGCAGCAAAAATAGAGTTACAGATTAATATGGAAAAAACAAAAATTCTAGAGATTCTCGACAGCGATCCATCACAAGACATATTTGAGTCAATAGCTTTTGAAAAAGTGGAAGAATTCCAATATTTAGGAGCGCTTCTTAGTACAAAAAATGATTGGTCACGAGAGATAAGTGCGAGGATAGCGAAGGCAGAAAGAGCCTTTTTTGCATTATCGAAATTCTTTAAGTCTAAAGCGTTGTCTAAGAAGACAAAACTAAGGCTATACACGGCAATAATAAGGCCTACTCTCACTTATGGGTGTGAAGTATGGGCAACAACAAGCGTGACGAAAAGAAGACTTAGAACCTTCGAAAACAAAATATGGAGAAAGATATGTGGACCAGTTCGCGACGCAAGAACAAATGATTGGAGAAGAAAGTTTAATAAGAAATTACAGGGAGAACTGGGCTTAGCACCAGTCACTAGCTACATAAAGGGACAAAGATTACAGTGGTTTGGACACATAATGAGGAGAAGCGAAGAAGAAACCATAAGGGCAGTGATAGAATGGCAACCAGAAGGGAAGAGACCCCGAGGCAGACCAAGGAAGAGATGGCTTGACATAATAGAAGAAGATCTTAAATCTGTGGGAGTAAAAAAATGGAAGGAAATTATACAAGATCGAGAGAAATGGAGGGACATAGTGTTGGCGACAAAAACTCTAATAGAGTTATAAAAGCCAGTTATGATGATGATGATTATCTAATGTTGACAATTCTAAGTCTGACGCCACGACCGACCTGATTTGCCCAGATTTTGATACATTGTCTGGAACAAACTGGGTGTCTAGCTTTGTTATAGATATTTGTTTGTTGCCATACGCTAAAAATCTGAGCTTAGAAAACACACACATTTTATCATGCTATAATGTGAATTTGCTGTTTAGAAAAAGAGAAGTTGGGGAAGTGTATGACAAATTTACTTTCAATCAGAACAGTGTGGTTATTCTTCCATGGAATATTAGTAGTACTCACTGGATTGTAGTCTTTATAAATTTCAAAACCAGACAGTGTTATATCATGGACCCGTTTAGGCCATATGATATAAACGAACGAACATCAAAAGATCGTTTCCGTCAAGTAATTAAAAAATTGCAATCAGATGTCATCTACGGTGACGGCACACATCAATGTCCAACCTTAACACTGATTCCATGCCCTTTTGAAAATGTTCCAAAACAAAAAGATGCAATGAATTGTGGAGTATATATCATATATTATACATCTCAATTTATGGACAATTCCAAGTTCAGTTTAGAGTTTGATCCTAAAGCTTATAGAGAATATTTAAAGACCTATCTATTAGAGAATTCCGAAGACATGACAAACGTATGTTTATACTGTGGCTGGAACTCAGACAGGCACCGTTGTTGACCAAATGATGAATATGTAGAATGGGTGTCGTGTTCTCGGTGTTGTCGCTGGATAGCCATTAATTGCATCCCTGAAGAAGACAGAATTGTTAATTACACAATTGATGATTTCTTCTGTTTATTGTGTGAGAAATGATGAAATTAAAATATATAAAAATGATTAGACTATAGAGTTAGGTTAGTATAGAGTTATATAGAGTTATATGAAATTGCATATCAAAATAGTAATTAAATTACTTAAGTTACTTTATTTATGATCACAGCTTCAAAACACAATTTGTAACCACACCAGTAATGCATTTAATATATTATTTGAGTTTAAATTTAATTTATTCATGCATAACTGACAGTCCGCAGTCTGTCAAAGTGGGACGGCATTTTGTGTTTTACTCAGGTATTTAATGTATGAGAAGTATAACGTACTTTATATATGTAAACAATCCATTCATTGTAGAAGTCAGAACTTGTATCTTCATCATAGCTTTTCATCTCAATTTGTTAGTTCATGAATCATGTAATTTCACTCCATACCATATTTATACACCAATACATTTTCCAAAGCAATATTGTTGTGTATATAAACCCTTATAACTGTAAATAAATAAAATGAATACACTATCAATTATCATGATATGAGTACTTACTAATTTAAGCTGTATGTGCTGGGTGTCATGTTCTTTGTGTTGACGAAATATAGCGATAAATTTCATTCCTAAAAAAAGACAGATTTGATAATTATGAAATCAATGATTTCTACTATTTTCTTTATAAATGAAAATATATAGAAATTACTATCTTATAGAGTTAAATAAAGCACCCTACAAATTGCATATCAAATTTCTAATTAAATTATTTGAGTTAGTTTGTTATGGACATTTTCATTAGATCTTAATTATTGAGAAGTTAAAAACATTACCCAAGTCACAATAAGATAAATAATAGATAACGACTGATGTCTGGTACAGTATGTCTCAATAAGTTATGTTAGAAAACTTCCGTAGAACATGTAGCCTAATATCAAACACATTGAGAAAAAAACATGGTATTGTCAAATTGCTTGTAAGGTCACAGAATTTAGACACCATATTAATATTGTCCCCATGTCATAAACCATTTATATTTCTCCTTCTTAAAATATCAATTTACCCGCGCGCGGCTGGTACAGTGAATCGACCAATATTATATAAACACCTATCCCCCGATAACTATTTAGTACGTTTGAAAGTACCAATAATGTTTTTCACTAGCTTATTTATTATTTTAATTAATAGTATTGCAACAATGCCCGGGTGTGCTGCTATTGGATGCTCAAACTCTTATAAGAAAGGGTTTCTAATGAAATATTTTCCTAAAGAGCCGGCCAGAAGGAAATTGTGGCTATCAAAAATGAAGAGAGATAATTGGGCTCCAAATAATTACTCTTGTAATTGTGAAGTATGTGTTGGATAAAATATTTATCCTCTATTGTATTTACTTTTTATTTGATTCAGTTTAAAAAATGCATGATGCATTGTTATAAACTCTTAAGTTAATATTATGTTTTAAATTACCTACCTATTTTACTTAATTAATAGATATTTTATTGATTTTGGGTCAACTGGATTTAATCTAAACATGTTAGGTACAATATTAAGTTGTTGAGAAAAACATATTCTGATTAAAATAATACATTGTACATTTAGTCATATTTTATTATTCTTTCATGATAGTTGTCAGAAAAATATTTTATTTGATGTTATGTACCTACCTAGATATTGTTTATCAAAACATGTCTTAAATTATTTTGTTTTCCTTTTAAAGAATGTACGGCAGATATTAACTGATATCTTCAAAAATAAAAGTATAATTGAAGTTATTAATCCATGTTGTTTGTTAATAGATTTAGAATTTCTTGAGTACAATATGTGGGACAATTTTTATCCAAGTCGTTGTGAAAAAAGTGTAATGTTTATTTTATATTTATTATTAATTTAATAATACCTAATGGAACTAAAAAGACTTGTTAAATTAAAGTGTATGTAGATAAAATATAATATTTGACACAAAATACTGACAACCTAAGCTACATAAATACCTATATTATAATTTAAAAACCGTTTTATTTGAAAAATAATTAAGTACACATAAATTTTACCTTAAATAATTGTTATTATGCTTCTTTTCCATCAATTTGTTGTTGTATATATTTTGTTTTTTACATTTGCCCCAAAATGTAAATATATTTAAATGTAAAAATGCACATAATAATCATTTAATATACTGATGATTTATTTACTTTTTCCCCAGATTTTTTTCTATTCTTATGAATGAACTCAGAAATATTTATTTCCATTTGCTCCAAAAATTTTTATTTTTTAAATTGCAATGAGGCGTAAATGTAAATTTAAAATTGTGAACTGGATAATGTTTTTATACTCAATATAACTCCAAAATATGATCGCTTGTACATTTTTACATTACATTGAATTACATTGAAAAATATGTGTAGAATACATTGTATAAGAGTGAGTGTTTATATTAAGGTAACCCTTGTCAAAACCATTTACATTTACCCCAGTTGACCCCAATTTGTTATTCTTATATATTTCATCATAAACTTTTAAGAACCTGAAAATCTTATAGCTACCATTTATAATTCATTTTAGATTCATTTTGAGCCAGATATGTGGGAGAAAACACGAGAAGATGGTAGTTGCAGTCTTAAACACGATGCTGTTCCTACCTTATTTTGTTTTACAAAAGAAGTTAAGAAATGAAAACCACCAAAAAAAAGGCAAATGACAAAACCTTTAAATCACATAATGGAAGTAAACAGCGTTGGTGCTTCAAAGCCATCAGATTGTAATTTAGAACATGTACAAGCAATGTCTGATGTTATCATTCATAATAATTTGTCTAGCAATGATCATCTTTACAAGTCTATGGTATTTAAAATTAATCACTATAAAAAACAGTTAAGATTTTTATCTGATAAATTAAAAAAAAATGAAACTAATAAAAGTGCTGAGCTTTTGAAATCTATTTTTAACAATGACCAAATAGAAGCCTTGTCCAGAAAATCTACTAAATTCATGAAGTGGTCTAATCCTACTATTTGCAAAGCTTTAAAGATAAAATT